TGTGGGAGAGGCCGCAGGCATGGGGAGGGGCATGGGGGCGACTGGGAGGGGAGTCGGAGAGGCCGCGACGGTTTGCATTGGTGGCGCGCCGGATGGGGATGGGGCAAGCGATGGGGGTGGGGTGGGCGCGGGCTTGGGGGAGGAGGAAGGCGGCACGGAAGTGGCGTCAAGATCCGACGGCGCCGGTGCGGGTGGATGCATTTCGGTCTGGATGCCCGGGACCGGTGATGGAGACGGCCTGGGAGATGGAGGCGGCACGGATGCAGGTGCGGGCACCGGGATGACGCCAGGATCTGATGCTGGAACCGGGATGACGTCAGGATCCAATGGGGAAGCAGCTGGTGTGTCCACTCTGGGTTGGATGGCGGGCGGGGATGCAGATGCGGTGGGAGATGGAGGTAGGATAGGTGCAGGCGGGGGTGGCGGGGTTGGGAAAGGTGGCATCGGGATGACGTCAGGATCCGATGGGGAAGCTGCCGACGTGTCAGCTTCTGTCTGGGGGGCCGGCACGGGCGCTGCAGATGGCGCAGACGCCTGCGGGGTGGGCGTAGGGATTTCAGAAATGGGAGGGAGCGGGGCTGGAACATCTATAGTGGGTGCGGCGGCAGGGATTTGGGCCGGGGATGGCTCTGGCACAGGTGCCTCCACGCCTGCCGGGATTGCAGCAACGGGCTGTGGGGATGGCCTCGAAGGGGGGGACGCTGCCGTGGGGAGGAAGTCGTTGAAGTGTGGAAACGGGGCTGGAGATTCGGACGCGGGCTCCGTGGATGGCCCCGGGACGTTTGGACCGGAAGTCGGGGGTGGGGGAGGCTCCTCCAGGTCAAACTGTGTCGGCGAGATGGCTGTGGGGAGGGGGTCTGGAATCGGAGCACCCGGGTCCGTTTGGGTTGGCGGCATGGCGGATGGAGGTGGCCCAAAGGGTGGAGGTGGGGGGGGCGGGGGCGCATGGGTGGGGCCGCAGGGGGGTGGTGCGGGGGTGCCATCAACATCCGATGGGGCTTGTGCTGGAGAGTCCGTTTCGGTTTGGATGGCCGGAACGGGTGACGCAGATGGCCCAGTCGCCGGCGGGGTGGGGGTGGGCGGGATGTCGGCAAAGGATGGCGGGGGGCCGATTTTTGGCGGGATTGGCGCTGGCGGAGGTGCATCCACGTCCACCTGGGTGGCTGGGACGGGCGCTGGGGATGGCCTTGAAGCTGGGGGTGCGGCCGTGGGGATGTTCGGGGCGAATGGAAGGGGGGACGGGGGTTCCGCCGCGGGCTGTGGGGCCGCCTGGATGTCTGGACGCCCGGACGGGGGAGGCGCCTCCACGTCCGCCTGAATCGCCGGGACCGCTATGGGAATGGGGTTGGGGCCGCGGGGGGTTGAAGTTGGCGAATCCGCGTCAGTCTGGATGGCCGGGACAGGGGTCCGGAAGGGCAGAGGTTGGGACGCCACGCTGCCGCATCTGCACCGGCCGTTGGCGGCGGTGCAGCCGAAGTTTTGGGTGTAGTATAGCTTGAAGTCGGAACTGTCGTCGAAGGCCACGCCAGTGCCCATGGTGTCGTAGCCGCAGGACTGCGCCAAACCGGGAACAAGGTGCGTCAATGTGTGGGTCGAAACGAAAGCACATAATTCCCAAAAACTCGCAAATATTAGCAAAATTATCAAAAAAATTGCGAAATTTTGAAAAGTTTTGCAAATTTGCAAAAATTACCAAAATTACGGGGATAAATACGAGACAGGAACAGGGAAGGTTGGTTGACGGAGGCGGCTATGAGACGCTGAACTCGAAATGCTGTCCATTCGCTCAGGCACCTTACGATGCCAACAGCACCGAAAATAGCCGTCTGAGGATTGTTTCGTCGTAAAAATCAGCTTTTGTCGCATCTGGATTCCGATGAACGTGCTGCGATTTTCTCTGTAGATGCACAAGTGGGTATTCGGCTTGAGCATCAGCTGCTTCCGCACCGCCAGCACGAGGCCGTAAGCTCACCATGAGATTCTCTCGGTGGTCTGGAGAACTGCGAATAAAGGCACACAAATGTTAGCTCCACCAGGGCCAATCAGCGCCACAAACGATCAAATTTTAGTCGCACTCGATGCAAATTTCGGCGCAGATTGCTTGAAATCTTGCGCAGTCTTGATACAGACGCAAGCTTGCCGCCTGAACGGGGTCAGATTCTGATAACCGTACACAAGGCAAGCGTCGACTTTGCAATTTATGTGTAGCGGCGAGCTGAAATTCGTGCAACGCGCAAATACTGTTATTTGCTATAACAATGGTGCGCGCTAGTTCGCCATCTGCACATGGCGTTGATGCAAAAGGGGAATCGGGGGTGTCGGGGGCGGTAGCTAGAGGCTGGAGTGAGCGAAAGCGGCCGATGAGTCGGCGATTTGGTCAATGTTTTGGAATTTTACGTGACGCTGGGGGTCCTCAAGGAGGCCGCGAGCTGCTGAATGGGCAACGCCATGTGCCATATGCAAGTCCCATGAAGACGCTCCACATGAGATTGTTTCGTTGGCCCCTGGTGAATATGTAAAATTTACCGATAGACGTACGTCTATCCCACGCGTGGGGCCAACGACCCCACAAACCGCACGAGTGAAGTCGGGTGTCCAGTGCTCATAGTGAAATGTGCTTGAGTGCGTGGAAGCAGCGTAATTCATGCTAAGATGAGTAGAACACCTGAATTTCTGCATGCATTGCAAACTATTCAAACTGGTTCTGATTGGCGCGAAAACCGCAGTTGAAGCGAGAAAATTTGGGTCGATTTTAACACGCTTTGAACTAAATTACACGATGTGAACAGTACGCTCTGAAGCACCAATAAAACAATTGTGCGATATTGGGAGGCACAGAAAGCGGTTGACGTAAGCCAAAGTTGTTTTCCAGATCACTTTGCTGAAAGCGCCTCGCAGTAACACAAGATGAACTGAAGCGAAAGGGCGGGCGTAGCGCAAAAGCACAGAGAGGAGATCGCGCAAGTCAAACTAACCAATCGCGACCCCAACCATTTTACACATTCCAAATTCCTTCAATCAAGCTCGAAAACAAAGGAAAACAGGAATCAAATCACACCGAAGGACTTCAGCATTAGCCCATATAATGGTATGGACCAAACCACGGACGTGTAATGACTTCGACTCACCACACCCATGCCATCACGAGGCTTCTGACGTCTTGGAATCCCGCAGCGATGTTCTCCCCAATGGGGAAGCCCATCCAACCCTCGCCGGAGATCCTGTCGTTGAACCCCCTGCCGTCTCGGCCCTCGTGGCTGAAGAAGTTGCCCGCCGCCATGTCCCTGGAGTGTGTCGTGGATGATCTGCACCGAGATTGATGCGCCAGTGCTGGGTTACTGTGGGGCTAACTTCGATGCCACTTGACACTTATTGATGCCATACCATCTGTATTCATGCCATCGCAATCGCTATGGTGCCATCACTTGGTGCCAAACGTCGTCGCAGTTGTAGTGTTTGATGCCAGTAATGTGGATGGCGCATTGGCCGGTGCTACTGTACGGCGGCGAGGACCCACAGGGGTCCGCGCCGTGCGCGTGGCGATGCCGCGTCGGATGCCCTCGCCAATGCCTCGCTTGCAATTTCCATCGTTTAGAAATCGCGAATAAAAAATCAAAATGAAAATCAAAGTTGTATTAGAATTTCCACTCATTTTCAGGAACATGCGAGGCGACGAAGCGTGTCCAAAGGACAGCAGTATCGGCTTATTATTCCATACATAAAAATATAGAATATATGTAGAATATACATATTCCAAATATACATATTCTAAAACCCTACTGTAACAGCCCGTTGGTGGCGTTCCCCTTCCTTCCCCCTCCCCCCCACCCCACCCCCCTTTCACTGGTGGAAAACGACATGTCTGCGATGCCAACTGCGATGCTATTTTGCCACAAAGTGATACCTTCAAAGCGATTGCGATGGAAAGGAAGTGGCTGTGATGGCATCCATTTTTGTCAAATAGCGTCGCAATTGGCATCGCAGACAGGCTGTTTTCTATTGGTGTTTCTCATGGGGTCCATGCCAAGCTAGTATCGATGCACAGGCGCTAGGATCCAACCCAAACCACTCGACGGGGCTTGCTAGATTTTTTCTCTAAGGGAAAAAACCATTTTTACTGTGGACTCGCGGGAAATTTCCATATGCGTTATTGGCAATGGTTTGTTGGACACCGAAATTTCTGATTGTCGTCATTAGAAATGGCGTCCACAAGACAAAGTGGCTCGCTCTACATTCTATACGATGGGTCCATGTGTACACTCAACAATGTTTTCCTGTCCCGCGTCCGTTCGTTGTATGCGCTCGACATGTGTGGTCGGCCATTGGTGTGACGGGTCCCGATGGACTAGAAGAAAACTTAGCCGAAGAGAATTTCAATGGTCTCAGTGCGGGAGCGTATGTCAACAGCAGCAGGTTGCGGATGGCCTGTGCTCGTGGCTCAAACATGTTGGGGCGACGTTATTTTTGTGTCTGGAAAATGGAATTTGGGTGCTGCTTTGTCGAAAGATTTGCAGCTATTGTGCGATTAAATCTTCTATGGAATGTATTTTCGGCATTTTAACAACTTTTTGCCATTTCAAAGAGCTCAATAACAAAAATTATTAGTTCGATCCTGGGAGATGGGCCTTGTCATGTTGGTATCTACGACCCTGTATAGGCATCCATCGCCTCCGTTCGCTCGCGAATCCTGACAGGGATCCTGCCGTTTGTTTCTGCATAAGTGCAATACCCATTTTTCAACCAATTACTAAGCCTTATTACATTTTCTGCAAAAAATCGTAGGGTGTATTCGAACACTACTAACGGGCGACTGCGGTACCATATACAAATGTGAAGCTGTCTGAGTACGGTGGCATGCACCCAGGTCCGCTTTTCGCCGAAATTCTATTGTTTCGAAATTAATCGACCATTTGTGCAATATTATGCCTGACCATCGTTGAATGGTGAAATAAGAATTCTTCAATAATGGCACATTCAATTCTCCTCCGTTTCGGGGCGGCTCACATGTCCAGCGGCTGCGCGGGCCCTTGGGTCTCCTGAACTGAAAACGCCAGCCCCGTCCTGGGTGGCTGAACGACCTCCAGCCTGAAGTCGTACTCGCAAAACAAGTCGTCCGAGAAAGCGTCCGGCAGCTCCCTGTAGGCGTTGATGCAGGCGGCAATCTGCAGCAATGCTCAACAGGCCAGTCGGTTCAGCAGTCAATCCACAGATCAACCATTCAGTCATTCGATCCATGCACCAATCGATCCATCATTAAGTCGTTCAGCCAGCCGATCATCAACGTTTTAAACCAGGCCATTTGATCTGTGTGCGCTTGGTCTACCTGGTTAGCTATCTCGCTCATGCTCAGCCCCGACCCGAGCAGATTGTCTGTTGGGCAGGCCTCGTCCTTGTCGATTGCTGATTGGGCGGCGACGAAAATCGGTTGGTTGCGGTTTGAGCATTCTGCCGTCACGTTCTGTCGGCACCTGCCGCCATTCAATTCCAGTTGATCAAAAATTGCAGGCCTCGAGTTTTGATGAAAAAGGCCACAAGTCCGATTACGTGGATACGGTTCAATCTGCGTTGCAGCTCTGCCTTCAAAGTTCAATTGGCGATTCAATGGCGAAGAATCGCTGAATGGAATGTTATTCTGCGCACTGAGTAAGCACCCTTTCTGAAAAGCTACACACAAGGTAAAGTGTTGAGATTTATATCAATTTTCCTGGAACATGCTAGTGCGGTTGAAACGGCAGTTGTGTCAATGAGACATCATTCATCTTGCGCTCATTGTTTATGGCGCCAATGTATCACGAATGCATCTTTCTCTGCTTTCGTTCAATTCAATACCCAAATTCAATAATCATAAATGTAGTTCCTGTGGGCAGCTTTGGGGAAAGAGTGCTGTTAGTGCGGTACAGCGACGTACATTTAACTGCATGGTTGCAGGTTTTCATGGAAATTGCGAGTGTGAATGCAAGTGCGATTTAGCAACGAGATTTGGAAAGTCTATATAGGAAAGGAGAGTATCCAAGACGAAGCCAATCCGTAACAAATCCCAATGGGATATTCCTGAGTGTTTGGGTCATCGATCATGTAGGCATATCTGCCACAACAATGCAGATGAACATTTAAATTGGAGGAGCAAAAATAACCAAAGATCTAATCAAATATAATGATCTGACCACCATAATCAGCGATGAATTCTAAGCTGTTAAATACACTCACTTTGTATATTTCGGTTTGCACATAAGTCAAATGTCCTGCACATTAATTTATATGCAACTCCACTTCACTGCATTTCATTTTAGTCGCTGTTCCTCACGTACACAGTGCGCATGGGTGTATCCTTAGCCTATTGAGAAGGTTCGCGGAATAGTTATTCCAACAAGGAAATTGTGCATTTTGTCATAATAACTAACTTTCGTGCAAAATGTCGGTAAGTGGGTCACGGAAAACAACAGAACATGCATCCTCTTCTCTTTTTGTGCACTCAGAAATGGCAATGTTGTGCACAAATTTCCTTGTTTTCTGACGGCCAATCTTGAGCACAACCGTTCCGCCCCAAAACACACATAATCGCAATGTTGCACACAAGTGCAGCCTTTCGAACCTTACCGACATTTTGCACGAAAGGCTGTTTAATGCCAAATTTTCGCAGCCATTGCTGTTGAGATTCAGTCGAAACCACAATCTCTTTAACAGCACACAACATCAATCAGCAGCAAATGACCAATTCAATTTCAATCAATCTGATTTGAAGACAGGTGTCCGCTAACCGGTCCTCCCCGTCGCCCTTGAAAAAGGCGGCTTCCCCGACGCTTGACATCAGCGGCACGGACGACTGAGTGATGACGTCACCCGGCCCCGGCAGTTCTGGCGCCGGGTCTTCAAGGGCCGCCGTTCCATCGTCGGCGACAATGCCGCACTTGCACGCGGATTCGGAAGACGAGCATCCGAAGGCGAGGCTTAAGTACCAGGCGCCGTCGGGCCCCTGGGCCCCGCCCACACCCAGGGTGTCCAAGCCACAGGCCTGGGATATGCGCAACATTTGCGTGTTTTTAAACAGCTGCACTTTTGCGCGGGTAGTAAATCGTACAAGAAGTGCATTCTACATCTGCTGTTAAAGCGGGCCAACATAATCGAGTAGAAAATAAACGCGTTGGTGCATTAAGCGACAACATGATTTGGAGGATTTGCGGAAGCGGCTTTCAACACGCTTTGACGGTGGCACACCTGCAAAAATGTATTAGCAGAAAAAAGGGTCGAATAACACTTTTTACTAACACATACATATGCATTTGATCAGTGTTCTGCATGCTAAAGACATGAAAATAACCCAAACCCGTAAAATTTGTACACGCTTGGACACGTGTTATTTGCCACTTCTTTCCTGGCGATGGTTTCTGCTGATATGATATTCTGTATGACAGAATCTGACAACAGATTCTGTCATCTCTTCTGGCTCAGCCCTTAAATTCGTTGTGCTTATTGCCTCATAATGCACAATTTGGCATCAATCCTTAGTATAGGAAATGAACTAAAGCTGTGCTGTAAAACATCATTTGCTACAAGTATATGGTACTGCAGTATATGTGGTGATTTCTGTGCGATGTGTCCCTGGTGACCGCTCTGGTTCAGCGCAACGAAAAGGAAGTTCGATAAAATGGTACGGTGCCAGAATTATCTATGTACTTCGATACATCGACGCCATATTATACTTTCATTTGCCCCTATGGATGCAGTGCGATGTTGCACTTGCCGAGCGTTGTCTCCTTTCACGATAGTACATCACATCCATTTACCACATGTGTCTTGAATGAGCTGTTCTCATTCGTCAATATTGAAGAACCGCCTATCGAATTGCAGCAACATTTCTGCCAGCACTGGCTATTTTCGGCCTATGATAAAGTGCAAATCGCAAAACATAATCATAACGCCTTAGCCGGACTGATGGAATTCTTCATTTTGTCAATTTATTTTAGATGCTCAGCCAATTCGCAGTAAATTCTTTCAATACAACTCTGACACAAGCGGCACTCCAAGTACACCCTGAACCCAGACCTGCTAATTATGCCTTCCCAACCTATTGCGAGCAGACTTAGGGATGGCATTACCATGATATTTCTCCTGCTGTCCTCATGGCTGCGAACATCACAAAATGGAAAGATGAGATACCAATTCCTTGGGAATCATGAAATCAAGGCAACATTTGATGCCGCAATGGACGCAAGTGCCCTCCTGTTGGTTGCACAGTGAGTGTCCCCAAAATTCCGATGGAGTGCGGTTGCGTCATCAATTTGCGCTGCGTCATCAGCATGGACGTGCTGTTTGAGTTAGCCATTCATTCAACTGAAGATACCGAATTCACAGCTCGTGTATGCAGCAGATTGGGCCATCATCTGGTCTGCGCTTCTTCCTTGTTTCACAGAATTGATTTGCGCGTTGCTTATCGCGTTCGCTGTTCATTTGACAGGGCTGGTGACCAAACAGATGCCACCTCAATTCAACATTTTCGGAGCCACATGTTCTGAAATATTCAGAAATTCGAATACCGAGTTGATAAATTAAAACGTTGGAATTGCGAGCTCGTCGGTTTATCTGTTCAAATTTCACATGAAATCTCGAATGTGGCGGCTGCTAATGATTCTCAATCCATGGGGCACCAGCCAGCGATATCTGTCGATGTCAGCAGCGGCTTGAACACAGGAATATACGGAATATACGGAATACAGGAATATACGGAATACGTGGAATGTGTGGAATATAAGGAATACATTGAATATATAGCATGCAGGGAGTGATGCGATCGAACATTCCCGCACTCACCACATCCACGACAACACGGCCTCCTGCACGCTGTGCGTAGGTCCCGCTACGTTCTCCCCCATCGGGTAGGATGTCCAGCCGGCGGCCTTGAACCGCTCTGCGATGCCCCGCCCCTCAGGGTCCACGTGGCTCAGGATGCCCGTCTGGGCCACGCTGATGGCCTGCTCCGTGGCGGCCCTGGGCAACAGGCAATCAAATTGGTCTGGTTAATGACCATCTCAACACGGATATTTTTGCAAAATATTCTTGTTCTCAAGGGAGGGAAAACTCAGAGCAGAAGCAGCTTCTTTTGGATCACAGAATGCTGCGGCGTGCTTCAGATGCAGTACATCGCATCGGAAGAGGTGTAAGCCGCCCGGAATAAAGACTTCTGTGAAAATTGAAGGTGATGTTGAGTACCAGGTTGTCGCTGCCTCCAGGAGATGCCCTTGAATGCTATCGGCCTAGAGGCCGACACAAAACCGTGGAAATTCGGATATAGTTGGGCCGCTGGACGGAAGAGCGAGCAGAAGAAATGTGTTGTCGAATGTATTTCCAGTGTCGTTACGCCAAATACTCGTCCACCATATGTGCCGAACGGGGATATTGAATACACATGCACATGAGTGTCGGTCCGGTGTGACAGATCCCCTGTCGATTCTTGGAACCCCGGTCTGTGCCATACCCTGATGGGGGGCAGGCTAGAGATCTCTAGCGGCACTCTAGAGGCACTCAACGTGGGCACCTCCGGAGGGTCTTGTCCGACTGATCAAAGGTGGCGTCAAGACAACACGAGTGCGGTTCACGATTCTGGCATCGTTTCACGGTCTCCTTCAAGGCTGCAGCGGCCACGGAATTCTGTTCCGCATTCGCCACTTGTGCACCACATCCGGCCATGACGCTTTTGTAACTAGAATCCATCGGGTATTAATAACAGCTGGACGCATAAAGAAGTCACGAGGCACTAGGAATTGCACCAGGGACACTGACGAACGGACTGGACATAAGGCACAGAATTGCTGTCGCCCCTTTGCTCCGCTGCAAACCGTTGCCGCGCGCTCGAGCCCAGCCTCCCCAGCCAGGGGTCGCCACCCCTCGATCTTGCCTGCCTCCGTCAACGCGCCTCGATCTAAGGGATCGCAGCCGGGCCCGCTTGTCCAAGCGGGCTTTCCAATCGTATCGGACATATCGACATGGTGCCTCGATCCACGGGCCGCATTAGTTTCGATCGGCTCCGATGCACTAGTATCTACTAGTATGCAGTGTTGTGCCCACCTGTCCAGCGGCTGCGGCGGCTCCGCCCTGGCCCGCAGCGGCGTCCTCCTTGGACTGAAGGCGTCGCCGCGAAACTCTGCATAGTCGCAGGGGAAGAGATCCGAAAAGGCGTCCGGGTCGGTTCGCACGGCGTTGAGGCATGCCGCGACCTGCGGAGGCGAAAGGGGGTGGGGTTGGGGGTGGGCAGCGCGTCGGTTGGGAATTGGGGATGGGATGTGATTGCGGGTGGCGGGCGGAAGAGAGGGCGGAGGATGGGAATGCGGTAATGGCGCCAGGAACACGGGAAAGTGGCGGCTACCATTTGATCACGCGACACAGCTCATGAGGTGCGGGGAAAGGACGCCTCGGACCCCACTCCCCACCCTCTGCGCACGGGCGTAGAGGCCGGCGGCGACCTGCGGAGGTGATCGGGGAGGGCGTGAGGGCGGGCACGGGCTGGGGATCTGAGGCTTGATTGATCCAAGCCCTTTGAATGTTGGATTGTGGACAGCGGGCGGAAAGGGGCGGGGACCGGGTGGGAGTGCGGTGATGGTGCGACGCGCGGGGGAGAGCGGCGTTCGGCGCTTGGTGTGCGGGGGATGAACGCCCCGGACAGCTCCCTCCCCCTCTCCTTCCCCCAACCCCTATCCAGCAAAGATGGCTTGGCATTTTCGAGGCGTCGAGCTTTCCAAGCCATTCGAATTTGCCTGCCCCCGTGCTGGTGTCGCGGCAACCAGCCCGGTGCGCCGCGCGCGAGAGGCCCCCGGACTCGCCTCGGACAACTTCATTCCGCCCCACCTGCTTCGACACGGACTCCGCCGTGCTCTCTGCCAGCGGCGGCCCTCCGCACGCCTCGTCCGGGTCCAGGGCTTCCGGCAACCGGACCAGATTCCGGCGATTGACGCACCCCCCGTCGGCCGGCGCCTCCACGCAGAGCAAGCCACCTGAATCTTCGGCGCCATCGGCGCCGTCGAGCGCCACCAACGCCGCTTTGATCGCAACCTCACCCCCAGGATGTCGCAACGAGCTCGATGCGTCAAGACTCGAACCTTGCGCGGCGCTGGCGAGGATTGCCGCCATGGCAAGCGGCAGGGCGATCGACGGGATCGCCAACGGGGGCGGCATCCCGAATGCGCCGCCGAAGCGTCGGACGGGCCTCAACCCAACGGCTGTGCCCAGGCTGCTGGAATCCGTTGTCCCTGGAGTGGGCCGAGCTGAGCGGAGCCCGTAGCTAGAGGAACGAGGACTGCCCCGTCCGCGCTGGGAGAAGGGAACGTTATTCGAAAGGGGCTTCTTTTAGGGTGGGAGGTGGGGGGCTGCGAACCGGCACTGGGGCCGTCCTTTTCGGATTGTCTAGCTATTTCCCGCGGATCGGGCTCGGTTGAGGAAATATGTAGGCGCCCCCCGGGCGGCGTCGGGCGCCGGAACAGCTACGAGGCGCTGGCGCGTGGCGCGGCGGAGGCGCGAGGGGCCGCGGTCAACGCGCAAGGCGACCCGAGGGTCAGTGGTCGCCTGCGGCGACGCTGGGGTCAGTTTCTGGCGACGGGACAGCGGCTTCGGCGCGGCCGATCTCATGGCGCGGCGAGACGAGGTTGATCGATTCCCATGGCTCCCACGGAATGAGCGAATCACTATTACCATCATCATTATTTTGTTATAACAAGGCAATGAGGTAGCCATCATGATGGCTGATCATGAAGCTGATCAGCTCCCTATTTTGCCCGAGCAAAGCAGAGTCTGCCGTCAATTCGTCGAAATCTACTGTATGACGAAAACGGAGTCCAAGAATCTATTAAACCCGAGTGCTTAGAAGTTTAGATGAATGAATCAATGAATCCTTTGTCTGTGTCGTACACTAGACTTCAAGGAACTCATCAGAGACCCTGCTTTGCTCGGGTAAAGTAGCAATCCGACGGCTACCTCGTTGCCTTGCTGTGTGAAAACATAATGACGAGGATGATGATGAGTCCTTAAAAGGGAAAAGGCAAC